ATAGGTCAAGAATGTCCAACCCCAAGTGAAATATGAAGACTCTTGAACCATTTAAGCTCTGTGGTGACTGCGTCCATAGACCTGTATTCGGCCTCAGTGGACGAACGAGATACTATAAGTTGTTTCTTCGTCTTCCAAGAAATAGGAGAGCTCCCAAGGAAAATTATCCAACCGGTGAGAGAACGTCGTGTAAGAGGACAACTAGCCCAATCTGAATCACACCAGGCCGTCATTTGGAGATCAGACAAAGAAGAGAAGAGTATACCCTGACCGGGTGCGCCTTTAAGATAACGAACAACGCGAACAGTAGCATGCCAATAATCCTGGCGCGGTGCCTGCATAAACTGAGACAAAATATGAACACCATAAGCTAAATCCGGTCGAGTAAAAGACAAGTAGATAAGTCGTCCCACAAGGCGCCGGTATGGTTCGGGATCCGAAAGTAAATCCCCTGTAGCAAGTGCTAAAGAATGATTCGGTTCCATAGGACATGGAGACGGTTTAGCACCAATAAGACCGGCTTCAGAAATAATATCCAGTGCATATTTTTGTTGACAAAGAAACAACCCCTCAGCACTTCGGGCCACTTCGACGCCCAGAAAATATTTAAGAAGACCCAAATCCTTATTATGAAAACAGGTGTGCAGATATTGCTTGAAACGGGACACAGCAGGAGAATCATTGCCAGCAACAACTAGATCATCCACATAAATAAGAACATGTAAGCGAATGGCACCTCGGCAGTAAGTGAATAAAGAATAATCGGATTTGGACTGAGAAAAACCATAGTCCCGCAAAGAATCAGTCAGCTTAGTGAACCAACACCGGGGAGCTTGCCGTAAACCATAAAGAGACTTCTTTAACCTGCAAACTGTATTCGGCCGAGGAGAAAAACCAGGTGGAGGTTTTATGTAAACCTCTCCACCCAAATCACCATGGAGGAAGGCATTGTGCACATCCATCTGGTGTAACTCCCAATTTTTGGCTGCAACAATCGCTAAAAACATACGCACGGTTACCATCTTAGCAACAGGAGCAAAAGTTTCTGTGTAATCAATACCTGCCCGTTGATGGTTCCCAAGGACAACCAGCCGCACTTTGAGCCGTTCCACCGTGCCATCAGAATTATACTTGATTTTGTAAACCCATTTACTACCAAGTGCTTTCTTCCTGGAGGCAAGGGGACTACATCCCACGTCCAGTTGGTCTCAAGAGCACGAACTTCTTCGGCCATAGCATGCTGCCAGCCGGGATCCTTCATGGCCTCCCGGAAAGAGCGTGAATCCTGTCTTGCAAGAACACCTCCAAGAAACTGGCGGTATCGTGGAGAATTTTTTTCACAATTTATATAATGTGCTTAAGGATACGGCGTACCTGAGGAACTGAAAGGAGATGATGCCGGAGTAGATGGGCTATGTGTCTGCATGCGATGAGTGACAAAATCCTGTAAGAGAGCAGATGAGCATTTTTCACGCATACCACGTCCAAGGGGTACAACCGGCGTGTCTGCGTGCAGTGGGAAGTGGCAGAGGTGGTACGTAGGGGGTACATCCGCAGCAGCCTCATGGGAGACGGGCCCTACTGGATCATTATAAATAACCACCCCGCCGTCTTGATGCGCGAATTCGGGAGGTGATGCCACGTTCGGTTGCTCAAAAAAAGGGAAGCGATCCTCGTGAAATTTCACATCCCGAGAAACAAAAATATCACCAGTAGCCCAATCATATAATTTCCAACCTTTCTTGCCAGAAGGATATCCAATAAAAACACAACGCCTACTCCGCGACGCAAATTTATCACCCTGAGATTTCAAGTTAAATGCAAAACTTAAACATCCAAAAACCCTCAAGTGGGAAAAATCCAGAATTTGGCCAGTAATGACTTCATACGGGGTTTTACCTCCTAGTAAGCCGGAAGGAGTGCGATTAATGACGTGCACAGCCGTGAGAACGCACCCCCCCATAAATGTATAGGTACATCAGCCTGGAACATCAAGGCCCTAGCCACATTTAAAATGTGAAGATGCTTCCGCTCAACACGACCATTCTGCTGAGGTGTTTCGACGCATGATGTTTGAAAAACAATGCCTCGAGTTTCAAAATAAGGAAGCATACATTTAAACTCGGTTCCATTATCACTACGAATGGTTTTTACGGACACCTCAAATTGTTTTTCCACCATAGTAATAAAGGACAAGAAAAATCGAAACACCTCCTTTTTGTCACGCAATAAGTAGACCCACACGGCTCGTGAAAAATCATCAACCAGAGTAAGAAAATAAATAGCATCACACATAGAAGGAGTTTTATAAGGGCCCCACAAATCACAATCTATAAGTTCCAAAATGCGACTAACGCAAAAACTACTGATAGGAAAAGAGTCACGAGCTTGTTTGGCCTGCGGACATACCTCGCAGGCTTTATTCAACTTTTTAACAGAGGAACTAGTAACAAAATGAGGTAACAATTTGATGACCCTATCTGAGGGATGGTCTGGGACGGGTCGGCCCGACCTGGGCCCGACCGGAGACCGGTACTGTTTAGGCCTGGCCTGGGCCGGTCATGTTTAGGCCCGGAGCCTGGCCCGGTCCCGGTTGGAAATATGCCCTAGGACAATCATAGTATGATTTATTAATGAATATTTAATGCTCATTAATTAATAAAGTCATAAACTCATTTTATATTAATTATTGTTATTGTGAGTTTTCTTTATGAATATTTAGTCCATGAATATCATGTTTAGTAGCTAATTAAGTACGTGACTTAATTGTGGAATGCTACACTGTCTAATAAGCATAATATTCTAATTGACCTTGGTCTAATATTATTAATTTGGGACATTAATAATTTATAGACCAGTATGTGGATTAACCAATGGCTATACTCCACTAGTCATGAGTATAGTAGAGATATCAAGTTAATAACATAGATGCTTGTTAGTGAACAAGTTCATTAGACAGACCCAACTTGAGGACACTGCTGGGTTATATGTCATCAGGGTTGTGCTCAATAATGACGAGGGTCACAAGGGTGTTATATTCTTATACTTGAGATAATCATGGTTACTTACATGGGAATTAATATGTATTAACACCATTAAATGTTATCATTAAATGAGTAATTATAAAGGTGGTGATTGTACATATTATGAACCATGTAGTGGTATGTGATTTATCAAGATAGTTTTTGTCACTCTCGTATAGCGAGAAAAAGATATCTATTGGCCCTCTTGACAAGTATGATTAATCACCATGGTCATGCTCAAATGAAGTGTCATTTGTTCAAGATTAGTCTGATCTGGTAATCAAAAAATATTAATTGAGAATAACAAGGATGACACGACCTAACATTGTCCCAATTAAGATATCGTTTGACAAAAGAGAATTATTAGCACAAATTAATCATTAAAAGGTTAGGTCAGATTTAATTGACATTTATATATTTTGGGTAGTCATAATGCCTTGCTGGAGACCGCTTATGATTTGTGAGGCTCGAATTAATTTTCTAGCCCACTCCCAACGATATATAAACCTACAGGGTCACACACATAAGTGATATGGATCATTAATGTTTGTTAATATTAAAATAGCCTGATTAACCCAATTCGAAATAGGTTTTCGAATGGTGTTGGGCTAGGGCCTCCAAGAGAGTTTTATTAGCTATAAAACTCATTCTTTCCTCCTCTTATAAATAGGACTAAGGAAACCCACACATTTGTGAGTTAAAAATTCCCGACGGGCGATCCAGTCACGTGCGTGTGGATATCGGTAGAGCTCGAAATCGTTTTCTCGGACTGTCTGACATCCTTGCTTTAAGATTGCTATGTAAGCCCCCCTTATTTCTTGTAAGTTCGTTTATAGTAAGAATCTCAGATCCGATTGCTTAGTTTTGGGCAGTATATTTTTCATTTTTCCGATGCGTTTTTCTGCCCGAAACCCAACAGTCCCGACCCGGTGGCTATAAGGGCAAGCTTCAGGATCATTTTTTAGGACTGACTAGGCCGGTCCAGAGCCAGGTCCGATTGCACTATTTTTAAAATTTATTGTCCAAGCCCGTTCTGGCCCGGTCCTGACCAGGGAATGTTTAGGCTCGGACCGGCCCGGTCCCGGTACAAACCCGGGCCGGTACCGGGCCTGAAATTTTTTGTCTCGAGCCTGCCCAAGTCCTGGCCCAGAGTCCAGCCCAACCCGGTCTCGATCCATCCTTAGCTTCAAACACCCCTGTCTCAGACTCTCTTACTCTCATCCCGTAAGCACCAGCCCATTCCTCACCTCGAAACATGAATTGCAGCATCCACTGATCCACGTTCAGTTTTAAGCGCCCCAAAGTCGGCCTGCTCCAAGCTGTCACAAGCTGGCGGCTGAATTTGGTGACCCACTTCTATTAGCTTGAAGCCTTGAACCTGATACCACCAGACCACCCCAATACCATTGACACTGCCTTCTTCATGAATTGAGTCGCAAGATGCGAAGAACCCTGCCAAACCCGCTTGTTGCGCTCGCACCAGATTGCCCAACAACCTCGCACCAGATTGCCCAACAACCCCAAACTAACTTCTCCAGGTCATCCTTACTCCTTGAGCCAAACTCCCATTCCAACTGCTCCAAAATATTCCTAGCCCCTCGGTCCATCCATTCCAACGTTTCCTTATTTATTTAAGAGTATGCTTTAGACAAATTTACAGTTCTACTCACATATTCTTTAAGGTGAAGTTCATGAATAGAAGACAAAACGTATTTACTAATAGCTAAATTAAAATGCTTCATTCTATCTCAAATCATCCTCGTTTGAAAAACGGTTGATCGCCCAACTTTGGACTTCTTTATTAATGATTTTGACAATATAAACAATTATTGATTTTTTATTTTGGGAGTAAGGTTGGATGTTTTTTATCGGCATCCAAGCATTATAGTTTCTGTCTCAACAAATATCAAGCCGTATGAAACTATACCTTTTTCCTTGTTCTAGACAGTGGCGTACTGGCGTGTGGTATGCGCTGTTGATGGTAAAAATCAGTACAAATGAAACGCAAATTAAAGGAACAAATAGTTGCTTCTGAAAATTACAGATTATCTTGACCAAACTACTTGACTGCAAAAAAACGCTTCTAAGAGGCATATTACAAAAGAGCTATGAACACATCACTATACCAACAAAATAATAATGATAAAAAAATCATTGTTTTAAAACTAACCATCAACAAAACTACTTCTAGAGTTCTAGTGAGAACTTCAATGTGACCCTCAATCCCTTGAGCGAGGATAAAAAAACAATACTCTGTATTTTCTTTACTTCCAAGCCGTGTCTGTCTTCTATAACAAATTGTATAATGGTAGCCCGATACAACAGATCAATATGAACCCATCTGTGGCATGCCAAATGGGGGCATAGGTGGCATTCCCATGGTTGGCAGTGGTGGGGCATAACCTCCCACGCTCGCTCCGCCCATACCTGGTGGGGCAGGCAAAGCTAGTGGCAATAGCTGTGCATACATATTCTGTGGAAGAAGCAAATAAAATTAGAAATGTTTCATCAAATAACACCAGTAACTTGGAGATTGTCATGATGTGCACTACGGGATGTGCTGAAGAGTTCCTTCTTACATGTACAAATGATGTTTGTGAAAGTCTTTTAAAAGTTACTAAATACTAATGAAAGAAGCACTTGATACCGCTTCCAAAGTTGTTTTCAGAGTAGTATGTGCATCTCAAAACAACGGTCATGTTCGTTCATGGTTACAGCAGATCTAGGATTTGTATTGGACATGGCTGAATGTGATTGGGCTGGGACAAAAAAAAATTGAAGTGGTGGTGGTGGTTTAAAAGGAAACAAGTTTACATTAAAAAAAGGCTAAAGGGTCAAATAGACCCTTGAACTGACTTAAAGTGTTCAATTAGCCCCTTATATAGGAGGTTCTGCCCGGCCATCGCCAATTGGGGCGGTTCCCGGTGAAATTTTTTGATGATATTTTTTGAGCATCTTCTTCGTTAAGTCTAGTTTACCCGTACCAAATTTCGGCTAAAAATTCAACCGGGAAGGCAATCAAATGATTTTTTGAAGATAATTGTGAAGTTAAACAGCACAGTACATTTCGGAAAATCATTTGACTGCCTTCCCGGTTGAATTTTTAGCTGAAATTTGGTACGAGTAAACTAGACTTAATGAAGAAGATGCTCAAAAAATATCATCAAAAAATTTCACCGGGAACCACCCCAATTAGCGACGGCCGTGCAGAACCTCCTATATAAGGGGCTAATTGAACACTTTAAGTCAGTTCAAGGGCCTATTTGACCCTTAGCCTTAAAAAAATTATGCTGCATTGGCTTCAGCCTGCCATAGACAAGTGCTCATTAGATCCTATCTATATTTTTAAAATTAATTTTTTAGCATTGCTGAATTTATTATATTGAACGAGTTTATAATTGTTTTAAAACAAATTACATGAAAAAATGAGCTCTTTATGTTGAAGAAAGAATTATCTCAAAACAACTCCATTTTTAAGACGGATGGGGTGTTGTTTTGGAATTCACACAATGACACTTCAAAAGAATACTGTATTTCACTAGATAAAAATTTCAGTTAGAGCCACTTTTCATAAAAAAGATAGTCCATGTCTCTGAGAAACAAAAACAAATATCAAGCCATAATTACCTGCTGCATAATAACGTCCTTCTCTTCACTCTCTTTAGCCTTTGCCTCAGATTGAGCCTCGATTTTCTCTTTGATAAGTTCATCAACTTTACCGGTATATTCACGGATGAACTGTGCAATACAAAGCCCAAGACAACTAAGAAGTCATATATAAAGGAAAAATAAACTTGCACAAGAAACGAGGTTAATTGTTCTTCTACCACCTTCCATTTTTATGTACAAGTTTGAAATAAGCAGAGCTTTCATTAGTAATTATCCACATGTAGTCAAAGATTACCCAAGACACGCCTTCCTATGTATGGATGGCGATTATAAAATGTCTAACGTAAACAACTACGGAGTATATTTTTAGTTCACTTTCTTTTTCATAGTGAATTGGACAGATGAAAATAAAATTAAATACAGAAAAGTGAAAGGGTGGGTTGGGTCGATTTCTGTTTGCGTGAGAGAAATAGGAGATAGGGGGGAGGGGGAGGGGGGGAGCGAGAGGGGGGTCAGTAACCTGTAACAGGTAAGGCAATGCAAAGTCAACAATGTTATTCAACCATGCAAGCTCAAGAGCAACATCAGGCCGAATCAGATCATAACAAACAAAGAGGCAAGATGCAAAGCATTCCTTCTTTCCCTGCAAAAAGCATAAAACCCACATTTTGATCTGACCTCGGGTCCTAACATCTTGCAAAAAACAAACGAGCATATTTCACAAAGACTAAAAAAAGCATAGATAGACAAATTCAAGCAAATTACCTGGTCAATAAAATACACAAGCAACTCCTCAGAAAGTTCACGGTCCCCAGATTGTGAGGCAGTTTCCATGGCATCTTTGTAAAGATTATCTTTTTTAGACAGGGCAATAGATTGCTTCCATCGGCCAGCTTTCTTATAGATATATGCAGCAACTCTCCGCATCTCAAGGAGCTCGTGTTTCTCAATCTGATCAGGTACACCACATAGATATGTTAGAAGACAGTAATTAAGAGCGCCTATTAACCAGTATTTTTTCATCAAACAGACTTACTTTTTACTCAGAGTACCTTAATTTTTAGAAAGTGTTTTCTTTAGTTAATTTAAAATTATAATTCTGAATAGTTACTTTAAATAATTCCAGAGTCAGTGACAAATTCATCAAACAGCTATTTTAAGCCTTACGAAACAGACCATAGAATAAATGGATATATATGAAAAAATGTAACAAAACAAACTCATTAACCTTCTGGGCAAGACCAATCTGATCAAAGTTGTCATGCAACTCAATAGATTCTCGAAGTCTTTCATAATCTTCCTCATCGACATAAATCTCATTGAGGGCCTCATTCACAGCAGAAACATTATTGCTTTGAACAGCAACCATGTATGGTTTCACTAAACGCAAATGACCAGCCTGATCTCCAAGAAAGATACAGATAGTTTAGAAAAAGTAAGTTGTTTTGGCGATACGAAGATTTTAATAATTTTTAATTCAATATATAATTCAGAAGGAGTTTTCATTGAAAACTAGCACAAAACTAATATAGTTATAAAAAGAAACAATACTCATAAGTCATAACCTTTTAAAATCTTTAGGGTTTTAGAAACGAAAATACTCCAAAAAAAACTAAATCAAAACTTTTTATTTGTCCATCCGAAAATGCACTGAAGCAGTGGGACCCACTTACCTTTCTCATAATGTCCACCACACGTGTGTGATCCACCTTCAGTGCAAGGACATTCAAGAGATCATTGATGAGGTCAGGATGCTCTTGCAAATAAAAATGCACAGCTTTGTAATACAACTCCACATTGGCAACTTTTACAGCAATGTCTTTGAACTGCATGTGGTCCCATGCATCAGGGGAGTGGTTCATGACGGTAGTGGCGGCATTATCAAACTCATCATATTGGATATACAGATAAGTGAGTTCCTTCCAATGCTGTTGCTCATCACAGGCTCGTATGAGTTTAGGAATGTTGAGACGTGTAGAAAACAACTTGATATGTTCCATGAGCTTCTCATGACGGTATCTGGCATAGAGCACACCAAGCTCAGTGAAGATGCCCATATGTGCACGTTCCAATCCGAGACCACTTTCCATAAGAGAGATTAGTTCATTAAAGCATCCTCGGTTTTGATAAAATTCACTTACTTCTTCTAGGTCATCAACCTGTAAAAGTCGCAATAGACTTTGTGTAAGTATATAAGTATATTAATGTGTAAGTTTCTTCTAACTCTCAAATTCACATATTAGTTAGTTGGGATCGACTTTCCATCATTTGCAATGGAGCCAAAGATTCATTATTTTTTGGCTTGAGAATATGATGGAATAAAGCAAAATGGCTCACTAAACTGTCTATGCTTCTTTGTTATGAAGCAGCAGTCAGTCCATGCAATTTTGGACTCGATTTTCACCATGGGTCATCCGGAAACAGTCTCTCTGTGCTTTAGTACAGGGGTAAGACTGCGTACATCCGACCCCCCCCCCCCTTACCCCACCGTAGATGGGAGCCTTTGCGGCACTGGGGTAAATATAAAATGAAAATGAATGAGTTAGTTCGGATCGGAAATAAAACACGAGACCAGAAATGGGCTAAAAGCTTTCTATTCCTTCCAAAATAATACCTAATGGGGGCAGGAAATTGAAAGAGAGAATTGGGAGGGGTAAAAAGACAATTTCCACTAATGAAAAGAAAGGGGGAGGCTGAAGAGTATTAGCAAGGGTAGTTTATTAGAAAAATTATTATTCATTCCCACTCCACAACAGGCCATCACATAAAAAACGTCCCGTAAAGTAAAATTACTATATTATGGGTAAAATACCCTACTAGTGTTTTAAATTAAACGTAATACTCACATGGAGAAGGGTAATGGTGGGAAATAACCAATAAATGCTCTCTAGTTATTCTATATCAACAGTTATTTGAGAAAAGAACCCCCCTAAAGCAACAGTTACTAAAGGATCAAGTATAGAATGAACTTTTACCTGCACTATGATATTCAGTCCACAAATCTGAGCCAACCGGAACTCCTCAGCATCAACACAAGCAAAGCATACTTCTTTCCATGTCTTTGCACTGTTTGCCTTGCGGGCAGCATCAACCGCACCTTGGAATTGATTCAACTTCACAAGTGTGCTGGCCAATTTGCCCCAGTTGGAAATAAATGCAAATATGATCTTCGCAGCCTCATATAAACCTCCATCAAACAAGCGATCACCGACATTAGGAAGATTGGCGACATTTGGCATCAGAATGAATTCTTCAATGTCACCCAGCCGATCAATTTTGGCATATGCAAAGATGATTTCACTGTCAACCTTAGGCTCCTTCGTCTTCTGCCTAACCATTAGCAGATACCTAACCAAGTCATGGTAAACATTTGAATTCTCTGCAGCATGAATGACTTCCAAAAAGTGAGTAGCATCATCTGCACGTATAAATGACTCGATCGCATCACTAACCAACCCTTCTCTGAGTTGAGCTTTAGCCACCTGAGTCCAGACTGACTCTTCTTCAACACGGAATGCATACTCAACCGCCCGGTTAATATCTCGAATGTAATCTAATAGAACATTTACAGCCTGGACGTTCAAGTTGTACTTCTTAAAAATAGCAAAAGCCTCTTCATACAGTTGAGCGTCGACAGCAACTTCACCTACTGCAGGTCCATCGAAGTTGTCAAGCCTATTGATGTAGTCCATAACTCTAGAAGGATCAGCTTTTATGGCTGTCAAGATGAGCAAATTCTGCAGGTTTAAGTTCCCACTGAATGCAGAGTTTTGGAGCACAATCTTCTCAAGAAGCTCAATTAACTCATGGGGAAGATCAGCAGTCATGAAAGCTTTCACAGCTGCAGACACTTGTTCCGGGCTCTTGCTTTCAGGCAAAGCAGTAGATACAACTTGATCAATGAGTAGCCTCCTGAACTCATTTTCTGGGTTGAGAACTTTGTCCCAAAGATCAGCATCCATCCTTTCAACTACATACCTACAGAAACAAAAATAACACTATTGAACATCCAGGCCTTTGGCCTACGTTTTGGTTAGGGGATTTTTTAGGGGGGAGTTGCTTGTGTTGAGTTGGGGAGTTAGGAGAAAGGAGAGGTAAGTAGAGGAGCAATAAAATCCTTCAAACTCATGTGTCACTCCCCAATTTAGGAATTTTGGCGGAGCTCTCTGTTTCTTAAAGTTCTATAGCCCTCCCTCCATACCTTTAAAGTTTCTGTTTCGGCTTACGATGTTTGACCAATGATTAAGTTAACTCCTCCATGATAGTATTTAAATTAGTACCAACTATTAGTTTTAATTCGAATGTGAAAAAGTTTTTAACTATAAAATCATATTTTGAAGGAAAGTTTTGTTGACTGCAAAAACAGTGAACAAGAACCAAACATATTACCCCCCTCCGTCCCTAAAAGAACTTCCAACTTTCCCTTTTCGTCCGTCCCAAAAAGAACTTCACTTTCCCTTTTTGGCAAAGAATTTGTGGTTCACAGCATTTCTCTCTCCTCTGCACAACTCTCCACCACACAATTCTCACTTTCTTAATCAGCGTGTCACTTTATTTTGGAAGAACATTTAGGGACGGAGGTAGTAATTTTTATCGACTCCATCATCCTCCCTTTCCACTTATGAGACAAGCAATGGCGTGATGAAACTGTGAGTTGTGATACTGGTAAGAAAATCAATAAGCCAATGCATACCTGGCCTGAAGTTTGAACAACGAGTTCTTGTTTGTTACGTTGATAAGCTCAACATCACACTGTCCTCTCATGTATGCAACCACAGCAAGTGTAGGATCACGCTTCTCACAATACTTACCCACAATACGCGAGTCATAATACGGGTTGGTTGTCAAGAAGTGTTCCGGGTTATTGTTGCTATCTATTATTATTTTTCCAAGTGCATTGTGCACATGAACATCTTGGCTTCCTTCACTCACAAGGTGCTCCAGAAACTGAGTAAGCAACCGAAGCCGGTTCCTAAAATTTTTGAGAAAGTATGAGCACAAAAGGTAACCAATTACAAGGAAAGAAAGGATAACAGAGAGAAGCCCAACCTCTTCTCACACTCATCAACAAGCGGCTCAACAGGAAGCAGAGAACGGACAGATAGGATTAAACCTTTGATGAAATCTTCAGGGCACTCATCATCTAAAAGCTGCCCAACAACTAATGGAGCATTTCCTGGGTTGACCTATCAAGGAAAAATAAAAAAAACTCAAATTAACTACAACTTAATGACATTACGAACTGATTATGCAAGTCCTAAAAAGAACTTGTACCTTTTGGACATATCCTTCGATATATCTGAGCATGTTGCTTGTGTATAGGTAGTGAGTGAGGTCAGGAACAAATCCAAAGCGGTCACATACATTAATCAAGGGTCGGGCATCGGGGAGTTTGGCTTCCATCAAAAAGTTTTTTGTTTTCTCAGGGTCATAGAAGTTAGATTCCCTAGTTACACGCTCAACCTCCTTTATCTGTCCAGTTTTAGCAGCTGCTTCAATGTATTTAAAGTGGATTTCAGGGTCCTCACTACAATCATGCGTGTCAATACATTAATGGACAACACCAACGAAACAGATCCATTATTTCACAGTAGAAAATGCATTCTTTTGACAATGAATACCTTGAGCTCAGATACGACCCTAAGAAGAAGTACAACCCATCATATGACTTGAACTGCTCAAAAAGCTTTATGCATGCCTCAAGGCCCATCTGCTCACAGTATTCTTTTGCAACCTGTAAGGAGTGCAAGCATAATCAACTAATGCTCTTACTTTAATATAACGAACACCAGATGCAGCAAAAGTAAGACACCCTGACTTGTTTGCAAGTCCTGTGTTATAACCAGCAAGATCTCTTGTGCAATAATAAGAGCCCCACAGATACCTGAACAATTATCTGAAGATTTCCCTTCAGATTAATTAGCAGAAGGTCCTTCATGCATTCTAGAGCCCACTCACGTGAAAGAGTCCCGAAGAATTCAACCAGAGCCTGGACAACAAACCAAAGAACTTAGTCAGAGCCTAACCAACTCCAAGCCAATGAAGTCAATATTACTTATCTTACCGACCTGAGGCTCAATTGCATGAGTATTTACAATAACACGCTTTATGTCAGGCAGCTCTGTATAGTGCTGTAGAAACAGTAAATAGTTAAACTTACATTGGTTAGAGGTACAGAAATTGAAATTAAATAAAAAAAGTAAAACCGACCTGCAAAGCTTGAATGTAAAGACCAGCTTTTTCACAAAGTTGACCAATTCGAGGTCGATCATAATGACTGAACATCCCATTTGCCAATATTGCACCAGCTACATTTGGAAAGGTGACGAGGTTGATCTCCAATACCTGAACAGGAACTAGATGTCATAATGATAAAATCAAAATGTCTAAGCTGAACAAGTTTCTTTGCAGCTAGTGGAGAGAGATAATCAACCTTAGTCTGCAGAAAGGCATGCTCGGGAAGGTTTGGTTTCAGAACATCCAATAAGAATGCCGTAGCCTCGCGGATCATGTTCCTCTGATTAAAAGAGAAACTTTCATTCATGATTGTGTGATTGCAACATCCAGATATCAAGGACTTGAGTTTTATGTTTATAATATAAAAGAAGCAGAAGTAATGGTCTGACCTGAAGAAATAGATCAGTAATGGTGTTGTAGTCAACAGGACAGCCTCCCTCCATTTGTGACATCATGAGGGCAAAATTTACAGCTCCCTGAAAATAATCAAATATCAAACAAAATGTTTACCTTCCCTCATGTGCTACTTATAATGTTATTCACTTATGCATTATTCACTAAAGAAGATGTCAGTTTCCCGATATGTTAACCTGCCGTACTTATTTATAACAACATTAACATGCCCTACTTATTTCAGTAAGAAAAAATCAAGGTACATGGAATAAAAAGAAAGCATTGACAGAGAATGTTAACTGTACTAAGATGTGCTCATTTCCGTATTCAGAGGCGTACCTGTTGATCTGATCGTAGAATTGTTTGCAGTAAAAAAAGATAGTCAGGTGTATATCCAACCTGTAACAATAACCAACACAAACCATCAGACAATCATTTAATGGAAATCAGTTGAATATTGAAACAAAACACCAGACGACAATGAAACAAAACATAAGACACAACTCATATTTCATCTTAAAAACTAGATGATGAAGAAAGAGAGAAATGAGATGACTAAAACGAACTGCTGATAACCTGCTTGGAATAGATTAAAATCTTGTCAAACTCCCTGCGCTCAGCAAATGCTGCAACAACCTTTGGGGTCACTCTCGCTTTAATATATATTTTCAAGGCCATGTCAGTATCCACGGTCTACAAGACAGCGTGTTCCTATTAGTATGGGAGCAAGAGAAATATGACTACTAAACACGCCATCCAAAATATGACCAACTGAAACAAAAAATTAACCTTCACAAGATCCCCAAGCTCCTCACTACACTCCAATTTATCATCAGCCAGCCAGTTTTCCAAAAGATTCTTTTTGTTTTGGTTCACAACAAGACGTGAAAGTTCCAATGACTCAAAGGCGTTAAGCTTTCCTCTTGTCAAAAGTGTTCCAAAGTACTGCAGCAAAGGTGGTGTTTGCCCCGTCTGTGCAGGTACACTCTGCAAATAAAAATTTAAATTTAAAAAACATAAATTATGATATAATTTCTGATTTATTCACAATGATATGAAAGGGTTAGAGGTATGAGAGCCATAATGATTGTAAAAAACCTGAAATTTGGCAACAGTATCACGTGTCCTGAGAATGCCTTGCGGAGACTCTGCAGCAAGCTCAGCAGCCTCCTTATACTTAGTTTGAGCAAATAACTCTTGGAAACGTTGAACGACCTGATGCATTTAATATATGAGCGAATCTAACAATAAAATAATTAGACATTCTAAATATCAAGGTAAATTATTGACACATGATTATCAAGACTTCACAACTTGGCTCCAACCATTCCAAATCTTATGAACCACAAAGTATCTTTCGAGTATCCAATTATATATACCTTAAACAGGCATAACCTATACTGAACACTATGGAGGCAATACTTTAACCAAGATGCATCTCCATTTCCAAATAATAAAAAAAAGAGTGGAGTGTGAAGAACAAAACATTAGCTAACCAAATTCTCAGCACCAGGAAGGTTTCCTCTTTTGGCAAGATTAACCGCGAGTTCCAGATTATTTAACTGCCAAATACATTCCAAACTTGTAAATAGAATAAACTTAGATTAATTTTTCTAATACCAAGCTGGGAAAAAGGTATAAACTTACTTGTCCGCTAACAAAAGGCACAAGTGTTGCTTCGTTTATTGTGGCAAGCAACACCTGGCCTCTCCTGTTGATAGCATAGAAACCACCTACAGAGGATGCTTCTGCTGTCAAAAAAATGGGGTCTGGGCTTATCCTATTTCGGTACACTGCAGTAGCTGTTTCCAGGTCATAGACAAATAAAAGCCCAAGCTTTGTAATCACATAAATTAAGCCATATCTCTGGGATATCTGCAATGAACAAGATGGATTTCAACATATTTCATTCTATTTCCACCATCTCAGGCAGAGTCAGATGGATAGAACATCAAGAAGACTAACCTGCATTGCAACTGGAAAGTCATCATTAAAATCTGGAGGAAAGAAAAGATCTGCTTGCTGCTTGACAAAAGATGGTTTCCCTGCATTCATAACACCCCAGAGATTGGAATTAAGAACAGAAATCGAGGTTTAAAATGTGAAAATATGTCACTCAATGGTGATACATCGGACTACTTGACAGCATATAACTTAAAACCCTTGCAACCTCATGTTGACCACATCAATAATACGTGCTTACTACCTCATAAGTGCAATATCCTTCCATATTTCTAGGCTGTGGAGAGTACTCTTACTCCCCTAATTAAGATTAAGGATGATGTACAAGAATGTGTCAACTATCGAGAGATTAAGCTTATGAGTCACACTTTGAAACTTTGAGAGCGAGTGGTTGAGCAAAGACTCCGAAAAAGTGTGGAAATTTTGGAGAATCAATTTGGTTTTATGCATAGACGCTCAACAACTGAAATCATTCACCTTCTTAGACAAATTGTAGACTTAGAAAAGGCATATGATAGGGTACCTCGAAAAGTCCTTTGGTGGGTCTTAACTCGAAAAGATATATCACGTAAGTATATTAGCATCATCATGGATATGTATGAGGCATGTACTACAAGTGTTTCTACTAGTGTAGGGAGGACTGCAAAGTTTACTATTACTATCGGAGTGCACCAAGGATCGACTATGAATCCTTTCTTATTTGCTATAATCATGGATGAACTTACAAAATCGATTCAAGAAGATATACCATGGTACATGATGTTTGCCGACGATAATATACTGATTGATTTGATGAGATACAATCGAGTGTTAAAGCATAAGTTGTGTTAGAGACTCCATGCAGCCGAACAAGGAGGACAAATATTATGGAAGAGTCTATTCTAGAAGAAGGAGGGAGAGGGGTGGTTATTAGTGATGTTCTGTTATTAGCTAATAACTGTAAGTGGTTGTTCGCTTAATAAAGCTGTGAAGTTCTTGTAATTTCGTTGGTGATATTACTGTGATTTCTGATGTCTCTTACAAGTTGGAAGTATGACGACAAACATTGGAGACCAAGGGTTTCAGACTGAGTCGAAGCAAGACTAAGGATATGGGGTGCAAGTTTGGTGGAGGTAGAAGTAGTGGTAGCAGTGGGAATACCCATGATGGCAAAGAGATACCGGTCTGTGATATGTTCCGTTACTTGGGCTCCACAATCCAGAAGGACGGTGAACTAGATGGAGATGTATCCCATAGAATCATAGTAGGGTGGATGAAATGGAAGATAAATTTTATCGACCATCAATTAGGCCTGCATTAATGTATGGCATAGAGTGTTGGATGGTAAAACAATGTCACATCCAAAAGATTAGTGTGGCCGAGATGGGTACGTCGCGCTCGATGTGTGGACATACCAGAAAAGGCCGCTTAAGGAATGAGATAATCAGACAAAAGGTGGGAGTAACACCTATAGAAGATAAGATATAAGAATATCAATTCTAGTGGTTTGGTCAATGTGCGTAGAAGACCGAGTGATGCACCTACTAGACGAATCGAGATGTGAGGGAATAGGCGGGAAGCAAATGGAGAAGAAGACCCAAACAGATGTGGATTAGAGGAATCAAAATTGATATGTTTCTTCTTGGGTTGGATGAGAGTATGGCTTTGGAGAGAGCAAAGTGTAGGGCGCAAATTCATGTGGAGGATTGATCTCTTTTCTCTCTCTTTTTCTTTTATCTTTTTATCTTCTTTATCTTTGTTACGTTCTTATGTTATTTTTATATTTTCTTTCTTATGTTCTTTTATCTTATATTTATATTTATCTTATCTTTTTTATCTTACCTTATCTTTTTATTTTTTTCCTTTATCTTATCTTTTTTATCTTACCTTATCTTTTTGTTAACCGACCCCAAAATATTTTGGGAATAAGGTTTGGATGTTGTTGTCTTTAAAGTTTGGGGTAGGAGGTAACCAGAATCCAATCACAGAATAACCAATTAGAATTGAACCAAGTAGGGATGAACAGGACCTGGCTGTGCTCCCAACTCAATGACATGCAATTTTGATGTAACCTGGCCGGCATTTGAGGTTTTTGTTGCAAAGGATATTAGAACAGAATCCTTATCATTTCCTGCAACCTAATTCAATTGCGAACAAGTCAAGACATGAAGTGAAAAAAGCATGATAGCGAAGACTCATAAAATCATGGAAATGGGTTTGTATTACTCTAAAAGAGGCAAATGAAGCTGCATGAGCTTCAAGAGCTTGACTACGTTGCTGATCCACCGAAAATAATTGCATGTTCCCTTTAACAAGTTGAGGCCTCTGTATACACAAACAAGGAAAGAACATTAAACAAAAATACACAAACACAATGCCAATAGAGCAGCAATGAAAACTAAAACACCTTAACTAGATATAAGAGAGGTCAAAGTATATTGACAATGAACAACAGAATCCACTTTTGATATCAATAGGATATTGATAACTATTAGTCAATAACAACAAATTAAAGAATGTACACACCTCTGGAGAACCAGGGGCAATTCCAATCAAAACCAGCCATTTCTCAGCAGGGTCACATCGGTAATTTATTATTTGGTTGTTAGCCAAATTTGCCGTTCTATCAAACATCTTTACAGGCTCAGAATCACCTAGCAAGAGACATAGTGAATCATATTAAGCAAGGATGATCAACCATTGAACTGAATACAAGAAACACCAATACTAAGGAATGTACCGTCAATTGCCCAATGATACACTGCTGTATGAGTGACCAAGCCCAACATCTTTGTAGTTACCCACTTCCAAAATGCAACCTAAATAGAAATTGTGACTGATGTTGAGCTCCAAGTTTAGATAAATCCATATATGTAGAAATGGTTGGCTGTACTCGCTACTTAAAGAGTGCATTACATCAATAGATAAACAAATAAAACTAATACCTGCTCAGGCATCTGGTACGATTTCATTTTTTGTTTTGCTTCAATATTGAATATTTGCAAGTGATCGTGGGTGGTTCCAGGAACTTGGGCTTCAGATAGATGAAAAACCTCATTATCAATAACGAATTGAAAAAAGATTCCAATAGTGCAAGGTCAGTTTCTTGCTAAATAAGAAAACCTGAGGGAAAACTGGAAAACTTTTGCTACCCCTAGAATTGTTGTAGTGAATGACGTGCTCAATGATGCAAATTCAAAAGTTAAATGTATACAAACTAAATTACTACACTTGCAATATTTCATGAAATATATGAATGTATGATGTAACATCAATTAAAATGTGCCCCTCGGTCACACATCCCTTTCTCACACAGATCTGTTACTTCCTGGGACTACTAAAAACACTTCATAGCTCAATGCCTCAACCTTGCTTAAAATTCTAAATAAACCCTGAACCACAGTGAGATGCAAATTATATTGACTCAGTATGTATAAACCTGTATTGAGTCAATGACAGATATCTACAAATTACCTTCAATTACCAACCAATTGAGCCTCTCCCAGTTTTATTCTCAATTTGGATACATTTTTTACAACAGTATATGATTCAGTTATTTGAGAATACACTAAGGTTGTTATTTAGCTCAAAGCATATATCAGGTACCTTTCAAAGCTAAAATTCGGGAAGAGGGGCACATGATAGCAGAGTCTGCAGTAATAGGCCGCCTTAGAGGCTGCATTGGCATGTTCATATCAATGATCACCACACTATTTTGAGGAGATGTCTCCCGAACACAGATAAATTTGTCTGATTCCATTGTCACATTTGTAAATGTGATGAATTGTGGATTGACCCCTAAGCTTGACAGCTGCAATTCAAAAATCACATCTCAAAACCTAAATTTCGAAGGTCATATATGCCTACTGACTACTGTCAAATTTAAAAACTATCTCACAAGTCTAAGTATCTATAAACAAGGTACGAATCTCCAATCTAACTGAAATTTAGCTTAAAAAAATCTAATCAACCAAAAACGAAACAGTACAGAAGCAAACCACTTATTCAGAAATCACCAGATACTCTCTTCCAGTTCATAAGGCATCACAACCAGGAAAATGATCATAAAATCGATCATAGCCATTTAATCCATTACTGTTTAAATGTGCAATCATATGAAGAGAATCTGCTAAAATTGATTACCGTGAGGATCTCCTTCATAGTGATCGGGGCGTTGGCGGCAGCCATGGCGGCCGTCGGATCTAACCCCCGAATCTGTGAAGCTCAAATACTGAAATAACGCCGAGAAAACGACGACCAAAACCTTGGAGCCCTCCTCGTGAGAGAAGTAGACGGAAGCCTATTGAGAGATAGAGGGAGCTTTACTGGTGATGCATTTCTGGGCTCCTTTCATGACATATAATGAGAGTTAATATTAATACGACGACGGTCAAATCTTAATGGAGGACAGATCTGCGTCTCCGCATTGAAATTTCAAATTTAGCAGGGGGAGTCTGGTAAAATAGCTGCAATTTCCATACTAAGCCAGTAATTTCTTCATGGTTACACCCGAATACAGTAACTTCTGCGATTCAGTAACTCGCTCCGTTCCAAACAGTGTAATCGAAAGCCCTCCAAAATATCATTTGATTTTGAAAAATAACATCATTTTGCTTTGCGCCTCATCACGAATTCAAAACCATCCTGAGACAGTTATTTTAGCATTCACTTGGATAATGTGAACCTCAGGTTGGGAGCTATTAAATTCAATTTTGAGGTATCCTAATCATGCATGTTATTTGACTGTGTTTGGTTTCGAATAGTCAGCTGTTTCGAATAGAACTTAACGTTTGCTTCTGACACGATATTTTAAGAGCTCAATTAATAGAAGAACAAATGTTTTGCATGCCCTTTGACTTTTGAGAGAAATTAATGTTATCCACTCCATTGTAAAAAGTTGGTGTGTAGTGAAGGGTAGTTAGGACATTTAATGTAAAAGAAGTTGCCTAAAAAGAAAACGTAAAGGAGTAATTGGGACGTCCCAAAAAAGAAAGTGTAAATATTTAAATGAGATAGAGGGAGTACTTTTTAAAATGCTTATACTCCGTACTCGTATTAAATTATACGGAGTATAATTTTAGTAAACAATATAATAAACACAAGAGGTTTTTACTTAAATATTACGGAGTATTAATAAAAACGTTATGGACAAAAATATAGGCAAATGTAACCGTTCTTTATGTAGGCAAATGTAACAGTTTCGCAAAATTATGTAACAAATGTTAGATATATTATCTAATATAATTGAGTTATGTGCACACAATTCAAGAATAGTATTAAAAAATAATGCATATTCCGTATAATTAACAAATATTTCATTTCATACATTTATAATACATTGTATAAATCAATCTATCAAGTCTGATATTTCATATTAACTTCAAGAAGATACATATCATACATACAAAATTCTAAATTTTAAATTCTAATAAATTGCTCATCATTTGAAGCATCCACATCAATTTCTCATCTGATTTCGTAAAGCGAGATCATCCATTATTTGGTTTCATCCTTCCTTCTCCGTATAAATGATTTCGTAATCTGCACAACAAATAGTTCAAAATATTATCAATTATATCAATTTCTAAATTATTATTGGTAGGTAGGAATTCGAATTGGGATGATCACCTTTTTGGGGTGCTAGATTTCGTTGCAACCATTTGATTTATGTCTCTCTATTCTTTGTGTTTCCTATTCTGCAAGTTTTCTAACAACATATTTTGTAGAGTTACTTTTAACAATATATCCACACATGTAAAGAAAGCAAATTGGTAAGATTAATAATTAACAATAAAGAATGCAATGAAGGTGCAAATTATCTGAAAAATCTCCTAAGGCAATGTGAATGCATCTGCATTATTGATTCTTTCTATCTTAAATATCATTAGATACTAAATCCGTGTCTTAACTTTGTAGTGAAGAGGCATTTACAATGAACTAATTAAGTAAAATACAATTATCTCCTAGTGTCACTATTTTCATCTAACCCTCTTAATTGATGATTTCATTTTTTTTATTGATGTATGAAATATTTATTGATTATTCATTTATATCAAAATTTTGAAGGTTGAAATGGTCATTCTCAAGGAACCTGGAAACAAAGGCAATTCCTTCACAAGAATTTTCAAACCCAAAGCATAGTTAACAATAGTTGGTGGATTATCTGCCGAACTATCTTGTGTGGACTAGATTTAATTTGTGTCTCAATCTTTGAACTCATAATCCGTAAATTAGTAGTTAGAAAAAATAAGTCAATGACAGGATGCATGGTCCCTCACATCTCAATATATTATACCCAATGTCCCAATCTTCAAAAAAGAAGTTATGTTTAAAATGCTTATCAACTCTGTATATTGTATTCCACATAAAATTTCCATATGCACATAAGTAAACTACTTTCCACCTTTTAATTAGGTTGGCTAATTATCTCCTTTTATATATGGTGTTCCCCATATTTTCAACCTAATATATAACATGTATGAAAAGAATATCCACCTGGGAGAAAAAAACAATGCACAGAGTATTTTAAAGTAGGAGTAATGAGTTAGAGTAATCAAAAACTTAATTATACGCAAATACTCTGCTCTATTTATCAAATAGATATCTACTATCAAGAAAAGAATTCACAACTGAGTGATAAGCTTTTTTCTTTTTTGGTTTCTGAATTACAAAGACAAAAAAGTCAAGTTGTTGTGTTCGATCACTCTTTTATAAGTTCAAATTATTACCATATTAAAATTGTGGAAGTCTACAACCCTTTCCTATGTCGGGAGAGTGGAGTTTGTTAGGGCGGTGGTACAAGATGCTGGATCCTATTGGTTACAAACACTCCTTATGCCTACTACTGTCATTGAAAAGATCTTAGCTACTTGCAGGGATTTCTTGTGGGATGGTAAGAGATGTAAAATTGCTTAGGCTGATATCTTTTAACCGGAGGAGGAGGGGTCAGGGCTTAGGATGCAAAGTGGTGGAATTGTGCACTATTTGCAACTTGCAAGTACTTTATGGAATATTCAAAGATCAAAGAAAAAAGGATGCATCGTGGATGAAATGGTTTCACGCCTATTATTTTAAGACCATCCACTATGGAGGGTCAAGTTAGATTAATAAAAAAGTGACGAGGGTTGACCCCCACTATGAAAGATCACAAAGTGATCGATTAAGTTGGCCAGTTAAAAATGCGATTTGCCATATTTTTTTATCTAGCAAATGAGAGAAGCCAAATGGAAAAGGTAGCTACCAACCCCATCAACTATCACCAACTCCCTAATTTCATTTATTATTCATTAAATTTAATGTATTGTAAAAAAGTTATACCACAGAATTAGTGTTTTTTTCCTCTATAAATGACACCAATGAAGGATATGTTTAGTCACTTCAAAATTTACCACTTCTTTCTCTCTTGCATCTTATTTTATCTGTTTTAGATATAAAAAAATCCTATGAAAATGGATCCAACTCGTTCTCTACCTAGCTAGATACAATGCAGGTGCCAACAATAAATAATTATAGTGGGTCAAATGTGGATTTTATATTCCATTTTCAAATTATATACATTAATACTGGTGGAATATACCAAAAATATGGAGAGAGAATGTACAAATTTTAAGTGGCCTAGATCACCATAGTGGGCAGAAAGTATGAAAGGTTAGAGAGGATTAAGTTTTTTGTGGGAAATGATGTGAAAGAAAGAGGAGGGGGTCAAAACCCATCACCATTGTGGATGCTCTAAAGGGTCGTCCCTAGTAGACTTGTACATGCAGTGGACGACCTAGGGGGGCTTGGGGCAAATGTCCCACCTTCCGACCCCGAACTTTAGCATTAATATTTAGTATATTCTTCATCCCGAAATGAAGTTCCTAGTTTGACTTCACGAGTTTTTAAGTCGAATATGAAATAAACTTGGCTTTTCAAAAATGATCTTGGGTAATTAAAAAGGTGTAGTACCCAAATGAGTATAATAAAGGGGATAATGAATAGTGAAATAAGGGTAACACACATCAATTCAATGAAGTGATATGAGAGTAAAAGGATAAATGAAAAATAAAAACTTACCAAATATAGAAAGAAGTTGAAGTGATAACTTTATTTAGGGACATCTTGAAAAGGAAAGGTGAAACTTAATTCATTTCGGGACGAAGGGAGTACAAAAGTAGTGCCCCATTATCTGGATAAAAAAAACTTTGTATAACTATTAGATTAGGTAATAATATTGTCAAAGAGCACATGAAAATTGTCATAAGACATTTAAACGATTATGAAATTATGATGGAATGATTTCTTACATCTAGACATTATCTTTATTCATAATTAGAGTTCAAGAATATGATAAGAATTCTAATATGTGTGATGAGCTTAATGAATTGAACTTGAATAAAAAATGAAATTTCATACACAATATGTATTCATTCTTTTCTCATTAATTTCAACAATTTATTGTGAATGTTGCAGAAGGAGAAGTTGTACATAACTTCTTTAAATATTTGTTCGTGATTACTAAAATGGTGGGATCATCTAAGAGTTCACATTTACAACCATTGCTCACATTCTTTGTATGTGATCTTCTACAATGTAAGTTTATATATGACAATATATTTGATGGTAGTATTGATTTAAAATCAACGGGCATTGCGAGTAGCTTGGTAATGATAAAAATCAATTTATTTTTATTGTCCACTTGGTTAAGAAAGTATTGTGACTGATGAATATGATATTTTGTGACATTTCTTGCAACAAAAAAGACAAGCTATCATCGATGTTTTGAGCTTGTTTAAGAACAACATAAGTAATTTTCAAGATTTGAGAGAAAAATGGAAGAGAAGAATGAAGTTAACATTCTTAACATGAAAGTTGTTAATTATCGTTTTAAATACATTTATTATCGAAGGAAGTGGCCCAGCCCAGCTGGTCGCCGACTTACTCTCCCTTAGTCCCTTATGGGAGGTCTCGAGTTCAATTCTCAATGGAGTGAGATTGTTCCCAATTTACCCCAGGTCCCCCTCCCCCGACGCCACCTAGGTAAAAAAAATACATTTATTATCGATAACAAATTATTATCACTTTGGAAGTTTGGAGTTGTTATATTTTGTGAGGTACACCGCCACCACTATCATTATTATACTTCAATATTTACACAAACGATTATATGGCTGTTTATAATATGAAATTCAGGAAACCTTACTCAGAGCAAAAAGGAAAGGGGTGGTATTCTCACACTGTGTTAGGGAATGTAACTGGGTTGCACACCATCTGGCGGCCCAACCGTCGGCCCATCAGGGTTATTTTACTCAGGTTCTACATCTTCCGGATCCGGCCCAAAAAGCATATTATACGGATTTATTTGGTTTTCCTTTTTTTCGATTCATGTACTAATTTTATCATTGGCTCAGGCCTAGCCCCCCAATGATTTCTTGTTTTACTTGTTCTGTTTCAGTTTTTTTTTTGGAGGAATGCCTCCTTGGAGGGGTTTTGGTTCGGTCCCTCCTCTTTGTTCTCTATCTTTTGATCTTTAATAAAACCTGGTTAATGCTCCCCGGCATTTACCCCATTGATTTTGGTGGTTGACCTTCCGGGGTAAAAAAATGAAATTTATAACAGTGCAAAGATAATTCAGTTGTAATTCATGTTATGTCTTTCTTTCAAAAAATTAAATATTATTGTTTAAAATTGTCTTAATAAGTTGAAGCTAGACT